TTTTATTCTGTTGTTTGTTTGATTGTATTATGTCTGATAGTATGGGCAGCTGTTTTGAAGATAACAAGAGGCACTATGGTAGCCGTTGTTGATTTATTATCTTGTTTTGAGGTTCTGTATCACTTTCACTGTTTTGTTTTGATTGGCTTTATTCTGTTTTATTTTCTTTGGTTTTATTCTCTTAAAAATAAAAAAAATAAAAATAACCAAATTTCAAGAAAAAGAGCGTGGAACAACACAGAAGAAAGCATAGAAACAATATTTGTATGATTGTTTCTTGAAGCTGCCTTTGATCAATACCAGAGATGACAACAGAACAGATGTCATCAAAGAGCAGGACAAGAAACTGGTACCCTATTTCTCAGTTTTGGGGAAGGTTACTTGACATAAACTTAGAATGTCTACACCTTTAGGAACAAACAAATTATCTTCATAAATGCCTTTACTGATACTCACTTCTACAGAGCTTTTGAGTATCAGTCAACTCAAGAAAGCAAGAGCTAGTGTACAACCACTTTACATAGCTGATTTAAAGAGTTTTAAAAAGCCAGACACAGTAACACATGCCTACAATCCCACTACTTGGGAGAGTGGGTCAGGAGGGTTGTGATTCTATTTAAAAAGTCAGTAACCTATTTGCTTTAATGAAAGAAAATACCAGGTAAATAAAGATTCTCTTTGGAGAATATTTTGATGTTCTAACTTTGTGCCAACTTAATTACTTTAGTATTGTATCAAAAAGGTAATTCTGGAGGAAGTTGAAAGAACAATAAACTTCGAACTTGAAAACTCTTGCTTTGTCACACTGTTAGTGAGTTCTGATGAGTTTTCATTAGTCTTTAACCACTGTGCCACATTTTTTCAACTATACAATGAAAAGCATGGACTAGAAGAGCTGTAACAGGGTCTTTAGTGCTGCTTTAACATGCTAATTAGGTTCCAGATTTAGCAAATCTGTCCTTTGCTTCCATTTTTGGTTAGCAGTTGTCCTGATAGCACTACTAATAAAAAACTAAACACCTCGTTTGGGTACGATTGTTCTGCAAGCTTATTGGGGTAACAGATATTGCCAACCTCTGATAAACAAAGAATTTTTCTACAGTTGCACTTTTAATAAATTGAAACCCAGATTAATCTGACACACTTCCTAAAATCCCAGCCTGCCCCACTTCATCACTCTTCTTTTGTTTTTCTCCTTAACTTTTGGACACTGTAGCAATTCCTACATTATTACAATACTTGTCTGACTCCTGTATCAACCTGTGAACTTCTTTAAAGAAAAGATTTCAACAAACCAACTAGCTTGTGAGAAAAAAGTAAAAAAAGGAGGGAGGGAAGAAAGTTGGAAAGAAGGAAAGGAAAGAGGCAGAGAGGGAGGGAGGAAGGAAAAAAGGAAGGAAATGACTGGCTGCCTTGTATCTGATGTCATAATCCCACTGAGGTATAAAGCAGATTTAACTGGCCCTTATGGTGTCATATCCTACCGCACAGCGGGAAGCAATTCATTCTAGAGAAATGTAATGTATCAAATATCTAAGCAGAACAGTGTGTCTGAAAGTCTTCCATTTTGTCCACTGAATTTTAATTTGAAATGTTAAGCCAACAAAAGCTAACTGAATCTACTTACGGAAATGGAGTGATGCATATGCTGTTCATACTCCATTAAACATAAACATATGAAATAAGCTGCAAAGATATACAAGGGATTCCCTTCTTGATTTCCAGGTGTCCCTTACCAGTTGCAAACCATCAGCATTCACAGCTATGTGAATAGTCTGTGTTCCAGCCCAGAAATACATTCCAGGCCTAATCCTCTTTTATACATGCCTTGTTATTCTTGTCCTACTGCTGTCTGTGTTAGGAACTTGCTTCTTTGGATCAGGGCATGTTGTATTACTATTTAAAGGAGATTTTCTAGCCTTTGATGACCCACATGAATGAAACTATTTTTTTCTTTTTGTTTTTGAGACAAGATCTTACGGAACCTAGGCTGGCCTTGAACTCACAGTGATCAGCCTCCTGAGAACTGGGGTTACAAGTGTGTGCCACCACACCCAGCTGAAATTGTTTTTAAATACAACATTTAAATTGTCCCCTCCCCCAGTTTATAGTTTAGAAAGTTAATTTCCAAGGCAATAGGGTTGAAAGATGAGCCACTTAAGAGGGTTTAAGTCTAAATCAATTTAGACTTTCATACTCAAGAATGAATTAATGCTGTTTTCTTGTGGAAGTGGGTTGCTTATTTCAAGAGTGTGTCTCTGATTTTTAAAAAATGAGTGTAATAAAATTAAAAGATGAGTGTAATTATCTTTCTCTATGCCCTCTCTTCTCAGCCTTCTGCCTTCTACCGTGGGGTGATACAACAAAAAGTCGGATCCCTCAACCTTGGGCTTCCCAACCTTCAGTACTGTAAGGAATGTTTCTGATCCTTATAAATTACCTGTTCTCAGGTAGTCTGTTACAGAAGCATAAAGTGAAGCAAGCAACCTTTCAAACTCAGGATCATTTCCCAGAATTATCACATAGGGATTCAAATTTTAACATATGAATGAAGGGGCATACATATTCAGCCTATAGGAATTTGCAAAGATCCTAGTTCAACTTCAAAGATCACAAAGGTACTGGCAAATATGACTTGCACATATCTTTTGGGCTACATTATTCAACCTCCCTACAAAGTAAACAAAGCAATAAATGTCCTCCTAACCTGACTTATACTCCAACCTGGGGGAATGCTGCTTTGTACTTCCAAATGCTACTAATACACAATAAGCAGAAGGAACCACAGAAGTAATGGCTGTGCTGTATGTCAAAAAGCACAAAGACTTTAGTCAGGTGAACCTATGTGCAATCCTGTCTCTTCAATAGTTGAAAACTTGGGTGACCACCTCTGTGGGCCTTGATATCTCCAATTGTAAAATAGGAACTTACCTCATATGACTATTTGGAGACTAGACACATTGTCAAGCACAGAGGCTTCTAAGTGTCATTATGAGGTGGGGGATTGAAGGTAATACTTCTGGGAATGGCTCACATTAACTTGTAGTCCTGACTGAATTAGATCTCTTCTAAAAGGACAGAAATCAGCACCAAGTTAAATACTGAAGTGTCCTGTAAGAAACAGAGAGCCGCAATCTCAGCACTTAAACTGACAGATGTTGGCCAAATCAAGGCAGAAACTAGAGTATCAAACTTCTAAAACACTTAATAAGTTTCATTACTGGGTCAGGCACTGGAGATGAAAGGTGAGTGAGAGTTGGACCTTTAATGTAATCAATTTGAATGATCACATAAACCCAGGGGCAGAGGAAAGGGCAAAGCAGGTAAAATTGCCGATGAGACCCTTGAAAGGTTTTAAAGTGTGTGACATTTGGGTGGTTTTTTTGAGGATGAATAACGGTGTCTTTGCCAGAGAAGAGAAAGTCTTTCTAAGCAGAGGGAGAAACACAAAGCACAGGTATTGAGAAGTAACCTTACTATATTTGGAAATAGGAACTGAGAATCAAAAGCTTGGTTATCTGAATTGATAGATAGGAACAGGGTCAGATTATTAACACAGTGATACTTTCCAAAATCTTAAGTTTTAGTTTATAAACTTCTTGCCTAAAATGCAGATTTATCCCAGAAACTAAGGCAGGATCCAGCTTTGAGATATGAGTCAGGTAATTCCAACATTTGGGAAAGAAGGTATACAGATTGGTGATCAGTTGGGTAAGGACCTTAGCCAAAATCAGGGAAAAGAAAGAAACAAAGATTAGGGGACATTTATTATGTAATGGATTATTTAATTTAAACCTCACAGCACTCATCTCGTGTAAAGCAGGCAGAGCTGCCAGATAACCACTCCAGTCATCAGAAAGCAAAACTGACCCGAATTTCTGAAGAAAGAGATGTTTTTGCTGAGTTAGGCAGCCTGGGTAGGAGGCTGCTTCCTAGAAATAATTTGGCTGCACAATTCGTTAGCTTAGGTTACTGCTCATTTCACTGCCTCTTTCTTTCCTGCTAAAGGAATTGTTGGATTATATCAACCACAGCAAACACCTAAGGTTTCTTGTACCTATGTGTGGCTTCCTGCTTTGCGGTGAATGCTTGGTAAAGGAGGTTCCTGTTGTAACTTGGCATAACTGACGCCATCTTGTGCCCTGTATTTGACTAGTGTTCTGTGTTTGACCCAAAAGAGTGAAGAATTACCTAGAGTACAATCCCAAGAGAAAAGCAAAATGAGCTGCACACACAAGAGAAAAATGAACCTGCTCAACAAAGAAGCAGGATACAGATGTCAACTAAAAATTAATGTAAGATTCTAGCTAAACTGTTTCCAACAGGATGTCTTTTTTGGGTTTTCTTTTTTAAAAGTTGTGTAACTTTCCAGTTCAGGGCAACTCGGTGGGACACTGAAACAGGGGTCTATATCCGGACGGTCCTGAGCTCAGCCAATAAAATTCCAAATTTATCAGTTAGGCTCCTTGGATTCCTATATTGTTCACGAACCCACATCAGCTCCCAAAGACACACGAGGTGAACACTATCTCCAGTCCTGTATGGACAGTTCACCTTCATTGTACCAGGCATTCACGGCCCTGAAAAGTTAAGAAGCAATTTGAAGTGACTCAGGGACCTTCCTAGGAACTATTTTCAGGATTTGACAAATGTACTGGCAACTGTTAACTTCCCTCCACCTGTGAGCCAAGGAAGGCAGCACAGCTCAGTACACCAGCGCTCCACTATCCAGAGGGTGAAGAGGAGAGCCGAGGTCTGTATTGTGAGGGCGCCTTCTGGGGTACTCCAGGGGCTGCTGGAAGTGGCGTGGGACCCTTGTTAGGAAGAGCCGGAGCTACCAGGTCTTTGAGGCTCGAAACTCCCCTCTGGTCGGGCTCAGGCAGGGACGTAAGCTACGCGGACCTGCAGCCGCTTTGCAGATGCTCAGTACAAGGGAAAGCAAGCCTGGGTGGGCGTGTCGGGGGCGTGTCAGGGGGCGTGTCGGGGGAGGGTTGCCGGGGCGGCTGGGCCCGCCTCCTAGCCAACGCGCAGGCGCAGGCGCGCCGCGGCGCGGAGTCCTGAGCTGCGGCGACGGCGGCGGCTTTCGGTGGCGGGCTCGGGAAGATGGCTGCAGCCGCGGCAGCGACGGCGGCCGAGCAGGTCTGTGAGCCCCGGTGCAGCCGGGAGCTGGAAGAGTGGGTGAAGCAGGGTCTTGCCCGTTGGGCCAGCGGTGGAGTGGGCCGGCAAGGGCTGGGCACGAGTGCTTGGCAGGGCGGGGCAGGGCGGAGCAGGAGGAGCTATCCGCAGCCGGGATGTAGCAGAGGCAGGCGAGACCCCGGGCCTGAGCTTTCTTGCCCGGGAGCGGACGTCAGCGCAGCTTTCGGCCTGGCCTGGTCTGTCCCTCAGCGTGAGACAGGAGGGCTCACTGCCCCGCGGCCCCGGGACGCGACAGCTCCAGTCCCGAGCTTGCGCCAGGACTGCCCTGCTCTATAGCCAGCAAAGATGCAGATAAAAATAACCTCAGCCTTAGCCGGAGGCCAGCCTAAGAAATGGTCAGCTGTCGCCTGGGTGTGAGGTGGTGGCGGCCACAGCTTGTTTCTGCCATCCCCAGATGACATGTCACCATCCCAGAATTCCCCTCCAACTTTGGTTTTTGAAGATTTATCAGCATTAAAAAACTGACTTCTGCCCAGTGGGTATTAAATCACTTTTTAAGATGTATTCGCAAGTATTTCTGCATTGTAGACTTATAGTTTAACATAATTTAAAAGGCTTTTTCCTCGCTCATATGTCAGTGTTATGTTGATATACACATGTCTGTGTACGTGTATATGTATGTCAACATGCGTACATACGTACGTATAGTTACTAGAGTGGTTTATTATAAAAATTTTTATAGTCACTTCATAACTTGTTTCTCTTCAAAAATAATTGGTATGATAGTTTCTCTTTTTGAAAGAAAAGTCTCTGTCTTCTACAATGTTGAAAGGAATGAGCCAGGTTGCCCACGTAGTTTCACCTTTTGGAAAGCTTTTCTTAAGTGGTTAACCTTTTAGACATTTTAGCCTTATAGTCTTGGAGGAGTTACTGGTGGAGGAATGACGACATGGAATCTGCCTTCTAAAACTTAAAACTTCCAAATAAATTCAGAAAAGTCAGCTACAGATAACAAGCACCGGTAGATTCTGAACAGTAAATGTGAAGGAATGAATGAAACAGAAAAGAGCAAAGCTTGGAATTACTGTTTTAAGTTGTTCCTCAGCTTTCACAATTGCCCTCCTGATTTATTAGCTTCTGTGTTAGACAGTTGTTTATCTTTTCACATTAACCTGCTGATGCTTTGGGATACTGGAGCTTTCATTCTTGCTTTATGCAAGCTGAGCAACATGATTCATTCCTCAGGCTCCACTTCAAATTTATGCATTTGTGTTTCCAGCCTTAAACTTAACTGGCCTCAAACTCAAAAATGTTCAATGCAGTTCGGGACTGCATCATGTTCACTCCTCAGAGGGCTTCGACTATCCATTCACTTGATCAATAAGAATTATAGCAACAAGGCCAATTTAAGGTGGCTCAGAAGAAACCCAAGCTTGATCTAGTGACCCTAACTTGATATTTAAACAAAGAGCCCAACGTTTTCTTTTTGTACCACATCCCACAAATTATGCAGCTGGTACTGTTTAAGAGTCATTTTAGACACCTCTGTGTCACACAGTCATTATTCACCTGACCCTGACAGTCCTTCTTAAAGCTTCTCTCCAGTCTTTTTACCTGAAAAGCCAAAGCTCTGTCAGGACACCCTCACTTAACTTTTAGAGGAACTTGCTGTTGACACCTTCATCTCATTTTTGGAGTGGTTTTGCTATAATACAAACCCAAGTTGTATTATTAACCTATTTCCAATCATTAGTAGTTCCCACTGCCTTCGAAATAAAATCTGTTGTTCATGCAATGGTCTTTTTGTTATTTGGTGGCCTAATAGCACCTCTTAGTCATTTTTGCCTCATTGACATCCCTGTTCTCTCCATGCAAATCTACCTGTCTTGGTCACTTTTTTCACTGCTAAGGAAAGGAAATATTTGGCTCATGTTTATAGTCCTTCATTAGCTGACCCAAAAGCAGGATGGCATGGCAGAGAGGCATAGCAGAGTACAAATGCTTGTGGCATGGAGGGATGGAGAGACTGAAGGGAAAAGCAGGAGAGATAGATAAACCTTTCAGGCCACGCATCCAGTGTCCTGCCTCTTCCAATCAGACCCCACCTCCTATCAGCAAGTTAGCTATAAACTCTCCTAGTCCAATTACCTTCCCACTGCAAGTGCAAGAGGCTTTGGGGGTTACATCAAGATATAAACCATAATAGCTACCATAGTTATTTCCCTGAGAGATGACTTTATACTCACAATTGCCATGCTGATCCCTCTGTCTAGTATGCCCTTTCCTGCTCTTTTGCCTGGCGAACTCCTTTCCACCTTTTGGGCTCAACTCAAATCTCAGCTTTTGTATTATGTGTGCTACTGTACTACTTACACAGCATTGCCATATCTCACCCATCTACCGCCCAGTTCCCTAAAGTCTCTGATCATCTTGTGTCTTTGAATTCTGCAGTATAAGTTGCTTATGCTATTTTGGCTTCTGAACATACGGAGTACTTTAGTGTACTGTTAACCACCTTATTTACGGAAATCAGGATTATAGTACAAGGCAGTAAGTGCCTGATTTAGGAACATTTGAATTGCAAACTTACACAGATATAAACTTTGTATTACAAATATTCTTAGAGCTGAGCTAATTGTGGAAGTAGCACATGTTTATATTACCCTTTTAAGGTAAATGTAAAAGTAACAATAGCTTATAGTGTTTTTTGTGTGTGTTTGGTTTTATAATGCTGTACATTGTATATGTATGCCAAATGTGCATAAGACGCACTCTGTCAGACTTAGGAAAGAATCTGACTTACAAATGTTCTCCTGAAATGGAACTCATTCATAAATTAGGGACTTACTGTACCCAAAGGATAATGATCCTGAACTTTATGTCTTTCGTGTTTCTATTTATGGAATACATATTAAAACATAAAATGCACATCTTCATAAAACATACAATGCACACCTTCAATAAACGTGTCTTTACAGAACTCTGAGAAGTGTAGACTGGGCAGTACGCATTCCTTTTGTGCCTGTGTTATGTAAAATTATTACCTAATATGTTATTCACCATAATTTAGGGCAGAAGTTCTCAATTTTTTTTATCTCAGATTCCCTTTACTCTCTTAAAAACTACTAAGGATCCCAAAGAGCTTTTGTTTACATATTATATCCATTGATATTTCTCCTATTATAAATTAAAACAGTTTGAAAACACAGGACTATCCAAGTAAGCATTCTGTTAACTCTTAGAGTGGTGATGCTATCACATCTGTATAGCCTTTGGAAAATTTTGCTGCCCATTCAAGAAAGGAGAAAAAATAGTATCTTAGTGTTATCTTGATCATATATCTTATATCCTATACCCTATACCCCTCCCCCGCAACTTATCTAGTCTACCATTCAAAAATTGCTGGTCTAGAATAATGTTAGTTTTAGTCAAGGAATTATAAGTAACTATGTCAGCTGTTTCAAATTTTTTTCATATAAATGAGTACGTATAAATTAGTAAATCACTAATAAAAACAAGATTACCCACTGTAGGATATATAGGGCACCTCTGTTTACCTTATTGACAGGAGTGTTGAAAGCAGAGAGGAAAATGTGTATCAAATCATACTGAAAGTTCTTCTACACAATTCTTCTATGTACAGTAATGTCTTTACCTGGAACCTGCAACTCAACATAACTTGCAGTTGATTAATGGAAAATATATCAATAATCAGTTCATCTTTTGTATTGATCAGCCTTCCTATTGCTGGGACAAAATACTTGACTCACAACTTCAAAGGGATCAGTTCATAGTTAGCTAGCTCTAAAGCAGACGTGCAGGGGTGGGAGGTCCTGCAGGGGGAAAACTACTCAATTAGTGGCAGCCAGAAAGCAGAGAGCGATGTAGAGAACTGCCACATCGCCTTCCCTCAGACCCAGGTGTGATTATGTTTATTTAGGAGCAGTGCAGGATGTATAGAGGTAACTTCCCTAGGTTGGCTTTCAGTTATTTTTTATTTTAAAGAGAACAGAACAATAACATAAAACAATGGAAATGGTGTTGGATTTCAAAAATAAGAGTAGGAAATCAACCTGCTCTAATGCACATTGTTTTCCTCAAATAGATGCTTAAACTACCAGACACAGGCATGCAAAGTCAATCAAACAGCATAAGCACTAAGTTATTTCTTTACTTCAGTTGCCCTCATCTCAGGAATTTCAAGTGTATGACTTCTAATTGCCTCTATATCTATGTCTTCTGGACTTGTTCTGAATGAAGTATAGGCATGTAAAATTAAACAATATAAGCACTAAGTTGTCTACTTCAGTTGATACCATTTCAGACATTTCAGGTGTCTGACTTCTAATTTCTGTTGTGTCTGTCTTTCTGGACTTGTTCTGGGTGGGCTGGAGGTCTGAGATTGTACCCTCTTCCTTTGCCTTGACATTTTGCTGTGCTCCCTGGAATCAGCCAGTTGCTGGGTCTTTGATGTTTCCTGCACTGGCTGCCCATCCTATAGTGCAAGGGATTCCAGGTACCTGAGTAAACCCAATCCCCTGCAATCTAAGGTTTCTGGGGTTGTGGAGAGGAGGAGGCTCATAGAGGTTTCACCCATGGCTGCAAATCCCCAGGGGGCATGGCTTCCGGGCCTCAGGGCCTGCAGTGATTGGTTCATCAGGGGTTGTGGCCTCTTCTTCTCTGGGCAGGCTCATATAGGAGCATGGCCTCCCTTTCTCTGGGCCATGTGGCAGGGGTGCTTACTGGGGAGCATGGTTTCTTCTCCACCCAGCAGCAATGAGCTTACCAGGGTGCAAGTTGTTTCTTTCTAATGAATTGACCTTTGTATCTCTCAAGTTCTAAAATGGCCAACCGATCATAGAAAGATACTCCTATAGCTCCTGCTTGAAATCAATAGCTTCAGAAAACTGCTGGCCTTGATTCAGGGCCATTGGCTATCAGTTTATTTCATGAGTCTGGCTGACACTGTATATATCTTCATGAAAACAGGTGACTTATAATGGATTAATATATACTTTATTATCAGCGGCTATTATTGAGCTCAAACAAGATGGGATGCCATTGCGCTAAGATATGAGACAATGTCTCCACTGAGGCATGCATGACTCCAGTGGAAAATTCCTTCTTAGAATTGACTACAAATAAAGTTACTCTTAACTATAACCTCAATCTGGCTGTTTCTGTCTGTTCAGCAAGAACGCTTTGTTCTGTCTGTTACACGGCCTGACAGCTTTGCCACTTGTCTGGTACAGTTGCTGTCCTCTCACCATTTTCCTCATTGAACAAATAACAAGGTTCTGGGTGGTTTGTAGCCTTTGTTCCTAGAGAGTAACTGGTGTCCCAGATCCCTGCTGTGCTTGTGTTTTCTTTCCTTTTCTGCAGCCTGTGTGACCTGGGCAAGAAATTGGAACCCACTGCAGGAATCTTGAGGCAAAAATAGAACTTTTCAGTTCATGCCCTTAAGCAACCCACCTCTTCTAACTAGGACCAGCATTCTAACACCACAGTCAGCTATGAATTCATCAGTGGATTCAAGCACTGATGATTATAGCACCCCATGATTCTGCTTCTAAAAGTAGTATCTCTGAACACTCACTTTTGGGGAACATTTTAGGTCTATACCCTAACAGCTTTCTTTAGTTATGAGGTTAGTCTTAATAAACGCATCAAAAAGAGAGGGCATTGCTGTTTCATTATGTTCTGTATCATTTTTAGCAAAGTTCCAATGGCCCTGTAAAGAAGTCCATGCGTGAGAAGGCTGTTGAAAGGAGGAATGTTAATAAAGAGCACAATAGTAACTTCAAGGCTGGGTATATTCCAATTGATGAAGAGCGTCTCCATAAAACAGGATTGAGAGGGAGAAAAGGCAATTTAGCCATCTGTGTGATTATCCTCTTGTTTATCCTGGCTGTCATCAATTTAATTGTGAGTATATGGTACAAATATTCTCTGTTTAATTTTTACAGGGGAAATTTTCATCCTTTTCATAATGACCTCCTGGACTTAGTATCTGTAATTGCATTTGGAACTGTTTTCTGCTGTTTCATGCATGTTTTATAGATGTATAAAAAACTAGTAAGCTAATAATTTCATATATTAATCATTTAGAAAAAATGGCTGATGGATTCTTACCTTTGAGTACTTAACTTTTAATGAGAGTAACTAGAGGACAACTTTGCCATGATTTTTATTGCCTTGGTGTGTAACTGTAAGTTTTTTTTGTTTTTATTCAGCTGTTCTTACATTTGATGTTGCCTCTTCAGGTAGGGTTTAAAACTGTGAAATCTTTGATGGTGGTCATGGTCTGTATTTTTTAGTTTCTAAGTCCCCATTGTCAAGAGAAAAAACATCTAGTAAGTGACTCATACTGTATTGCTGGACATATGGTGCATTGTTTTTTTCCAAGGATTTTTGCTTCTTTAAAATAAAAAATCTGTTAATAGTAAGATCATTATTCTCTGCAGGTTAATTGTGAAACTCTGTGGCATGTGTGTAGATCACTGTTTGCAGAGAGTGATTATTGGTGTACGTAAGTCTGCTCAGAAGTGTAATTTCTAGCACCTCAAAAATGATTGCATTTATGTTTTTTACTTCTGATCTTCTTAGTCTATTTTATATCAAATGTACATCAAAACATTTGTGTCTCATTCTTCCTGAAGTCAGCAAGATCTGGTACTTTGCATTTTATAGTAGGGACCACAAATAGCTTTACTAAGAGCACATTTTTAAATTTATTTTATCTCATAAGTGGATCTCATTGGAGATTCCAGGTTAAGATGGAAGATTAAAGACATTTATGTCTCATCTTTAAAAAACTCATCTCAAAGTAACAATATTAAGAAACAGACACCTTTGAAGAAAGTAGGAGTCAACTGCAGTCCTAAGCCACAATACAGGAAGATGAAAAGGAAGAGAGGAACAAGGAACACAGATATCAGAGAGGAGCGACTACTGCGTGTGTTTTGCAGACAGGGTGGTAGTCTGTGTTGGTGAAGTGCTTTGTGCAACCTTTAAAAGCCTCAAGAGGTAAAAGTATAAGTACTCTACCTTGAAGAGTGGAAACTGAAACAGAGAATTTGTTTGAAAAATTTGCTAGTAGTGAGATATGTGGGCTTGCCCTGTCTTCCAGGGAACAATTAGACAGCTACCCTTTCTAACCCATCCAATGGAGTATCTGGACATCTTAGACGAGACCGGGTATTTCTGCCCAAGGTCATTATTCAGAGAGGCCTTTCTGGATTTCTGTCCATAAAGCAGAACTGTTTGAATGCTGAGTTCTAAAACTCCATTTCCCATGCTGCCTTACCCTCATCCTCTGTCTTCTGCTTGCTGGCTTTAGGCAAAAAGTAGAAAAACCCTCTCTAGAGAACTTAAACACCTAGGTAAATGATGTGATGGCAGTACATTTGGTAGGTCTCAAGTCTCAGCTATCCCTGTGGTCACAAACCTGACCTAGAGAATTCTCCATAGACATTTTATAGAATCACTGTTAAATATGAACACTGAGCCAAGGATTACTAGACTTTTTTTTAAAATCTCTAAGAATCAGAATAGGCAATTTAAAAGGAGCAATTAAAGAATAAGAAAGAACTCATAGAAATATACACGCATGGATAAATGGATGGCTGCTTATTGGAAAAAAAGCTCTTCCAGAATATTCAGGAAAACTGAAAAACCAGTCCAGGAGTTTTCTGTTGATAGGAGGCTCAGAAAGTGAGAAGAGGGAAAATGCTAGAGAGAATATTATCAAATGAATGAAGAAATTTTTCTAACATAAACAGAAAACTACCATTCTGAGTCCAACATAATGCATTAAAAAAAAAAAAAAGACACATCCAAACTCTGTGCTCTGCACTCCTCCATTACACCCAGAGGGCGGGCTATCTGGAGGACAGTGAGTCTGCGCTCTGCACCACTCCATTACATTCCAGACAGTGGGGCTGGCTGGAAGATGGTGAGTTTGCAATCCAGGCCTCTTCCATTGCATCCTGGAGGGCAGGCCAGCTGGAAGAAGGTAAGACCAACAGAAACCCTAAGACTGAGGACAACAGTCTAGTGCACAGACGAACACACACCTCTAGAGGGTGAAGTAATCAGTGAGGCCAGTGACTCAGAAGCATCTGAAGCAGCAGCAAGGAGACCGCATTTGGACTCTAGAGAACTCCATTGACCAGTTCCAGCCCCCAGATCCAAAGGCCAAGATGGGCTTCATACCCAGCACGTCTCTGGGATACGACACGGACATTCTCAGAACTGTAAACACCAGAAGTAGGTTCTTGGAATAGCTATAAAAAACCAACTGCCTCTGGAGGATATCCCTGAGGGACAGACATCTTTCCTTCTTGAGAGAGGCCTCAATGCTAGTGGTAGAGCTGTATATCATGGGAGGTTGACAGGCATCAACATAGGAGACAAAATAAAAGAAAAAAGAGAAGGTGGAGAATGGCAAGATGCAGCGGCCAGGTGCAGCCCCAGACCCCAGTCCACCGAGGACAGGCCTAAAATTCAGTGAGACGAATGAAGGTAGAAGTCGAGCACTGAAACTTTCTGAATGATAACAGCAGAAGTGAAAAAACAAGCGGAAAGGGGTATAGAGCAAATGATCTCTCAGGCAAAAAAAGAGCAATACTTAAAGATGTTAGAGAAAACACAAAAGAAAAGATGAACTTAGAAAAAGATGGAAACAAAAATGCCCAATATAGGAGAGAAAACAATCCACAATAAAGATACAAAAAGAGATCCAGAAGATTAAAACCTCCATTGAAAGTATATGCAACAGACGGAATGAAGGAAAAGGTAGAATTTCAGATCTTAAATAGAATTGCAGCTAGTGATCATGAAAAGAAAGATATCCTAAAAATAGGAGACCATGAGAAATCAATCCACAGCTACAAAATGAAGCAAAGAATAATAACACAAGATTGATGCAGTCAGGGAGCAGTGAGACAACTGGAGACAGCACAAATGTCATAACAATCATAAATATCTATGCACCTAATACAAGAGCACCCAACTATATAAGACAATTTTTGGTAGACACGGAAAATCAAATAAGCAATAACGCAATTATAACAGGAGACCTCAATACCCCATTGTCACTGAGAGACAGATTAACTAGATAGAAAATCAGCACAGAAATATAAGAGCTGAACCAAATCTAGACTTAATAGGACTAAACTGACCGAACCAAATGGGACTTAATAGAAGAAAACTGTGCACTAAGGCACCACACTAGTGGCCCAGAGAGATCCATCAAGCCCAACCTGGACCCAGAGAAGAAACTGCACCCCCAAAACCCCATTGCCATGGAGGGAGCATTGGTGAACCACTGCCTTGTGCCTCTCCACCACTCCAGGAACCCAGGATCAGAGGAACCCAGGTGCCTAGTCCAGTCCACTACACCAAGGCATTAGCAACAAACGCAGGAAGCACTCAGGATGCAACAGTGAGCTGATTTGGAGCGAAACAGGAAAATGTCAAAACAAAGGAGCAATATATAATCTCAGACCTCCAGCTCACGCAGCACAAGTAGTTCAAGAGACACAGATATAGTAGGAATTAGAAGTCACACACATGAAATTTCTGAAAAGATCACAACTGAAGTAAAAAAAACAACTTAATTCTAGTATTGATTGGTTAATTTACATGCCTATGTCTGATGTTCTAGACAACTATTTTGAAGATACAAAGAGGTATTATGGTAGCCATTGTTAATTTCTTATTGTCTTGTTTTGAAGTCCTGTATGGTTTTCATTGTTTTGATTATTATATATGATGGTGTGGGCAGCTATTTTAAAGGTAACAAGATATATTATGGTAACCATTGTTGATTTTCTATTATCTTGTTCTAAAGACCTGTATCACTTTCATTGTTTTGTTTTGACTGGTTTTATTGTTTTGTTTTGTTTGATTTTATTTTGTCTGATGCTATGGACAGCTATTTTGAAGATAACAAGAAGCATTATGATAGCTATTGTTGATTTCCTATTTTCTTGTTTTGAAGTTCTGTATCTCTTGCATTGTTTTGCTCTGATTGGCTTTATTCTGTTTGGTTTGGTTTTATTCTTTTCTAAAATTAAAAAAATTTTAAAAAGATACCAAGCCACTGCTGGGAAATTAAAAAAAAAAAAAAAAAACACGAGTAAAGAAAAGATCTTCCAGAGGGAGTAAAAAACAAGTTGTATACAAAAAACACACTTAGGAGTGGCATTGGACTTCTGAAAAGCAGCATTAGAGATTGGAAGGCAAAGAGTGATGGCTTTCAACGTTTAGAAAGAAGGTAATTTCAAATCAGTGAAATACCTACACAGAGTATCAGTCAAATGTGAAGAATTATAAAAACATTTGGAAAACTGAATGCAAGGAAACTGAGTATCTCACACAAGAGAAAGATCAGAGTTACAGCCTGAAAATGAAGGAAAAGTTCACAGTTAGGGCTGTGCAGGAGGCCGGAGACCAACCATTCCAGCCTGGAGCAAATGATGGGTCCCGGAGAGATTTCCTGAGAGAGAGAAATAGAACTAATACTTGGACCAATTATCTTCATCATCTGAAGCCTGGACTTAGAGACCTTTTTATTGAGATTTGTGGAAATGTTAGAGGGATTGAGAATTAGGATTTTTCAAAGAAACTACGCAAATTAAAGAAAAAAAGATTAACTCCAAGAGACACAAAGGAAGCTGCTATCATAAGGCAATGTTTGGTTTAGCAGTGAATAGCATTTGCATGGCCGTAATACAGAAAGTACTGAACCTGTCTGTGGCCATTCCTCCTTGAACACGCCTGATCTTGTCTGATCTCAGAAGCTAAGCAGGGGCAGGCCTGGTTAGTACTTAGGTGGAAAAAAGTACTCAACATGAGTTTAATTTAAAACTTGAGATTAGAGTTGGGAGGGGAAAAAAGGATATATAAATAAGCTAAAATTCTCATATGCTAAAATAAAAAATACATAATATATACATATAATACTTATAAATATGGAGGTAAATACTAGGTAAAATAGTTAAAATTGTTGCAAATGGTTATCCCTAGGGAATGAGATATGGGAAAGGTAGAAAAATAAGATACTGCTCTTTTTTATTGTAGACCTTTTAGTGTATTTTAGCTCATAGAAATTTGCATGTGATACCTTCATAAAAATAAAATTGGCTTTTTTTAAAACAGAAAACTACTTGATGGGTTCATGGGTTCATCGTACTGATTGAATATTTCAGGAAGTCTTTAATGCTTTGGCAGTGATCGTCTCTGTCTTCCAGGTGAGTCAGGGGGATGCTGCTTTAACAGAGGGCTTTCCCTGTTTTTCAGATAACACTTGTTATCTGGGCTGTAATTCGAATTGGACCAAATGGTTGTGACAGCATGGAGTTTCATGAAAGTGGTCTGCTTCGATTTAAACAAGTATCTGACATGGGAATTATTCATCCTCTTTATAAGAGCACAGTAGGAGGAAGGCGAAATGAAAATTTGGTCATCACTGGCAACAACCAGCCTGTAAGTTATTATGTTAAATGCGGTATGAACTTGGAGATTGTCTGTGCACAGAAATTCTTTACAAAAAACCTGGGGTTCACTATTGGAAATACGTATCTTCCTGTACAGGAAATTAAAATACTATTATATATTCATGAATATATTCATTTTTCGTAAATAGTCAATATTTAATAATGATTGGTTTTATAATCTATAAAGTAAGATAGTTTCTTAATATTCTAGAATTTGTTCAATGGTGGCATTGTCAGATATAATTAGTACCAGAATACTTCAGTCATTCTTTTCTGTGTGCAGAAGCAATAAGAAAAGCACATTCCCAGGTTACAATTGTCTGGTATTTTTTGGGTCTCTGGAAGAGAATGTGCCTCTTCCTCAGTAGCAGGCCAGGCCAGGCAGCAGCTATGATACAAGCTGTTAACTGGGTAAAACCTCATGGAGGTATTCTGACCCACTCCAGGCCATATTCGCTATGACCTAAGTATCTGTGCAGAACCTTAAAAGCCTTTATTTTAAAGAACTCTCTTCCAAATTGAGAGGCGTCGGGACATATGCAGCTAAAAGTATTTGAAGTTAGTTTGTTATTATAGTTTTAAAAAATAACTTTATGATTTTTGGTTGTAGCATTCTTTGAAAGTATTCACAATAAAATGTTTTTCTGAAGATTGTTTTTCAGCAAGGGACAACAAAGCTCAGTGTAGAAAAGAACAAAACTTCTATTACAAGTGACATTGGTATGCAATTTTTCGACCCAAGGACTCAAAATATCTTATTCAGTACAGACTACGAAACTCATGAGTTTCATTTGCCAAGTGGAGTGAAAAGTTTGAACGTTCAAAAAGCATCTACTGAAAGGGTATGATTTATTTTCTTTTTTTTTTTTTTTTTTTTGGTCTTTTTTGTTTTTTTTTTATCGGTACCGGGGATTGAACTCACAACTGCCTGCTTGCAAGGCAGGCGCTATGCCGCTGAGCTAAATCCCCAGCCCTTATTTTCTTTGCTTTACTACTAGGAGAAAATTATTATCTAAAGTTGTAAAGCAGGAAGACAACCTTACTACTTCACAGTGGTATGAAAGAGCGTATTCCAGAATGTTGGCAATTATTAGTTTTAGATCTGTTATTACTTAGCTTGTCTGAACATTATCAAGTCTTTTATATCAGTTCCCACATCTATAAAATTGTCTTTCATATCTCATGGTGGAAAGTACCATTTCTCTATGATAATTATCATATTAATTTATAAACTCTTTTGTTTCATTTTTAGATTACCAGCAATGCTACCAGTGATTTAAATATAAAAGTTGATGGGCGTGCTATTGTGCGTGGAAATGAAGGAGTATTCATTATGGGCAAAACTATTGAATTTCACATGGGTGGTGATATGGAGTTAAAGGCTGTGAGTATTTTTTTTAGGAATTTAAGAGAATTATTGGATTTTTAGACTCATGAATCCATATATGGAATAATAAACAGTTATTAAAAATGGTTTTTGTTATGGAAGATGTTCAGAGTAGATTGTAAGTGAAAGAAAGTTATTAAAATAGTTTGTGAAAAGTTTTTATTGTTTAGAACATACGTATATTCATAAAAACCTGGAAGGATATGTCAAGATACTAACAATATTTAGCTGTGGATAGTAGGATTTAGCTGTGGATAGTAGGATAGCAGACAGTTTAATATTATTTTTATTTCTGCTAGATTGTATTTTCTACATCCCACTGTATTTTTTTTTTTTTTTTTTATCAGTACCGGGGATCGAACTCACGACCGCCTGCTTGCAAGGCAGGTGCTTATACTGCTGAGCTAAATCCCCAGCCCCCGCTGTATTTTTTTTTTTAAAGCAAGAGAAAAACCCTTTTAAAAGAAAAATGTAAAAGATCAAAGTACCCATTCAATGAAGTTGTTGAAGTTTTTTTAAAGATTCTTCATATCCTTCCATGAGTTTCATATCACATGATAGGAAAAAAATTACGGCCAGGGATATAGCTCAGCAGCACCAAGCCTGCCTGGCTTAGGTTATGAGTTCAATTCCCAGTACCAAAAAAAAAAAAAGTAAAAAATATTAGCAAATGTGGAGCTGGGGATTTAGTTCAGCAGCATAAGCACCTGCCTTGCAAGCAGGCAGTCATGAGTTCGATCCCCGGTACCGATAAAAATGAAAAAGACCAAAAAATTAGCAAATGTATAAAATGCATTGTTAGATGGACATCCATTTTTAATTGTAAGGGAAAGATAAAAAATATTTTTGCTTTTATTGTGGCTTTTTAAAGTGAAATTTTCTTTGTGTTTCATGGTTATATCTGAAAGCAGCCACCATACTTGATATAAAGGGCACATAAGTGCAAAAGCTTGTTATTAGCACACAGTTTTGGTAAAAATATATTTTTTCAAAATTCCCTGTGTAATTAACTAAAGCTAATTAAATTTGTCTACCAAGCATTGCATAATAAAAGAGACCTTAAAATTAAGGACTTTTAAATAATACTTTCCTTTTTAAAAAATTAAATTTCAGCTCTTAGGAATAATAGACTTTAGAAAAGAGGTTATCTCATTTTCATAAACAGCTTTTTCCTCTAATGCACAGAATTCTATCTGTAAATAATAAAGATAAATGTTAATGTAATTCTTGCAGAAATGCCGTAGCAATAATGAGTAGTTTTTTTGTTTGTTTGTTTGTTTGTTTGTCTTTTTGAGACAAGGTCTTGATTGCAGTTTAGGCTGTCCTGGAGCTCACTTTGTAGCCCAGGCTGGTTTTGAATTTGTAATGATCCTCCTGTCTCAGTCTCCCAAATGCTAGGTTTACGGGTGTACACTGCCATACCTGGCTAACACTGAGTACTTTTGATTCGCATTGTGGTAAAATCTTCTAAGGGAACTGAGAAATAGTAGCAGCAGGACTGTAGTTCTCTGCACTAGGTAGGAAGTCAAAGCAGCAAGAGGTTGGACTGTTCAACGGGCAAGTTACCTCAATCCTTGATTTTTCTACCAGAAAATTTTCATCTCATTCTACCTTGTTAACACGACAAACGTTGAAATAGATTAAAGTACACATGGAAACATAATTTGTTTCCTTATATTTAAAGGAAAAGGGCCCAATGTTAAAAGGACAGTTAGCTTCTATTTTTTGTAGTGAACACATACTAAGTGTACACATTAATAGATGTCACTGTGTTTTGCCTGTAGTGTGCATTGATGCTGTCCACCCTCCCCACTAGTCTTGTCCCCGTTCCAGTCCCTAATCCTCCCTTTTTTACACTTAGATCCTTGTTTAAAAGTTCTCCTGTATAGATAATTAGCTTTATAATTCAGTTAAAATCAGTGGCTAATTTTTAAAAGTAAGTAATTATTAGAATTTTATCATAGAACTCTGGAACACTGAAGCCAAAGGATAGCAAATTTGAGCCTAGATTATCTAAAATGACCAGCAAGACCCTGTCTGAAAATATGAAAAAAGAGGCTAGGTATATCACTCAGAGCAAAGGCTCTGGGATTAAGCCTCAGTATGGAAACAAAAAATAAACCCTGAATTTAATCAAACTCTTTTTTTTTTTTTTTTCTGGTACCAGGAATTGAATTCAGGATCTTATGCTTGCCCTGCAGGCGCTGTTACCACTGACTATATTACTGGCCCTCAAATTATTTTTTAGTTTTATTTTGCTTTTTAAATTTATAATTGACACAATATACATATTTATAGGGGACAGTATGATAATGTGATAAAAATTTGTGTAATGGTCAAATTTGATGAATTAGCATAGCCATCACCTCCAACATTTATCATTTCTTTGTGGTGAGAACATTAAAAATCGTCTTCTAGCTATTTTTTAAATACATTTTTAACTAATCAGTCACTCTGCCATTTGGTAGAACACTGGAATTTTATGGAAAACAGCTAACTAAAGAAAATAATTTTAAATGACCATAAGATGGCAGTATAGGAACAAAATTTAAAAACCTACATAGTTCCTTATAAGTACATTCTATGGAAATGTTCCAAATCCAGAAGACTCTCAAATCTGAAATATTTATTATCCCAAGCACTTCAGATAAGGGGTACTCACCCTGTGCTACCACTGCCTAATCAGTTAGCCATGCTATTACTTTATGACCAACTTCCCATTGTTTCCAGTGCCCTCTGTAAGCTGATGACCCCATGGATGGAACTCCTGCTTTAAGCTTTCCTCTGAACTAAGATTACTTAACCAGCTGCCTGCTGACCTTCTCCATTTCCATACCTGGTAGACGAAGTCTAACAAGTCTGAAGGCCTGCTGTCCTCCTTACCTTTCTCTGAGTGACCCCAGCTGGTACAGTGATAGCTAGTCCAGCAGCAAAGCCTTCTGGCTCTACCGTCAGGAGACAGAGTCTGCCTGTATCACCTCTACCACCACCAGGATATAACTGCCCTCATTTCCTGCCTGAACTTGGAACAGCTTCCCAACTGGAATTTCCGCTTTATCCCTACCCAGCACCCCCAGTGACCTTTAAAAAGCTTTTATCATTTCCTTCTGCTGAAGCCTCTAAACGAGTTCCTGCCTAATTTCAAATAGAATCCGGAGTTCCTTTCCATCCCGTGTATGTCTAGCCCTCAGTTATTTGCTTCAACTCTGCCAGGCCCTCCCCCAACCTTGGGGCTCACCCCCACCTGACCCCTTAGTGTCCCTAGAGCACCACGTGTCTTCGCCTTTGCACACACTCTGCCTCTGCTCCTTGTGCACTGCTCTCGGAGGCTACCTCCCTCCCTCCCTTCCAGTTTCTGTTGGAATAAGAGCTCTCAACAGCCGCCCTGTGTAAAATAGAGTGTCACCTGCCCGTCTCTCTACTTAGCCAGCCTTATTTTTCTTCACAGCATTTACCTCTCCTGAAGCCCTGTGTATTTTACCTATGTCTTCACTGTCTGCTCCCACTGCGTTAACTGTCAGCCATGTCAGAACTTGGACTTTGCCCATTTTGTGTGCTGCTGTAGCCCCACCACCGAGAACAGTGCCTGGTACAAAGTAGCCAGTTACTAATTAGTTATTGAGTGAAAAGGGCAAAGGAGGAAAAAGTCCCTAAAAAGAGTCTGCAGTGTAAGAGTTTCAAGGGAAGTGGGCTCCAAAAAGAGGGCTCCAGGAAGTTTGAATGGCCAGTCTTTAAAATCACATGTTTCGGGGCTGGAGATTTAGCTCAGCGGCATAAGCGCCTGCCTTGAAAGCAGGCAGTTGTGAGTTCAATTCCTGGTACCGATAAAAACGAAAAAGACCAAAAAAAAAAAAAAGGAAAAACAAATCATGTGTTTCTAATCTTCTGTTCATCTCCATTCATTAAAATTAATTACCACTAGGAGAAAATAGTAGCATTTTCTTCTCATCATCACAAACTTACCAGTGACTTTGTTACAGTTCGCTGAAGAATTAAGTGAAAATTATGAGACTATCAACATGAGTTTCATTATATGCTTAGGAGTTTTAATGTAATTTTAACTAATAATTGCAAGTTGTGTTGCAATTGACATGCAGCATAAATCCAATAAGTTAAAAAGTCACCATTTAAAAATTTTCCCCCTGTTGTACGGGAATTGAAACAGGGGGCTGTATTACTGAACTCCATCTCCAGCCTTTCTTTTTAGAATTATTTTTTATTTTGAGAAGGGTCTTGATAAGTTGCCCAGGCTGGACTCAAATTACAATCCTCCTGCCTCAGTTACTAGGACTATAGGCATATCCCCATATGCCACTGTGCCCAGTTACCAGTTGAATTTTGGCATTGATTTGGGTTTGGGTTGCTGCCATTATTGCTTGGTTATGACTTTATTCTCTTAGTACTTTCTTTTGTTGTACTGATCCAGTACCTTTGTTTAATAATTTCATTCTCTACCCACCTGCGGAGGTAAGTAAATCATATTCTCCTCCTCCACTAGGAAAATAGCATCATCCTCAATGGAACTGTGATGGTCAGCACGACTCGGCTGCCCACTTCCTCCAGTGGAGATCAGCTGAGCGGTGGAGACTGGGTACGCTACAAGCTCTGCATGTGTGCTGATGGGACCCTCTTCAAAGTGCAAGTGACCAGCCAGAACATGGGCTGCCAAGTCTCAGACAATCCCTGTGGAAACACGCATTAGAACACCAGAGGTCATCTATGTTTACATTTGACTCGACCTTTGTTTTTTAAGAGTATGCATGCAGATCATCTTTTTACAGTTTGTGATAACTCACTATAGTTATTTTAACTGAGAGCACTATTGTCTGTATTATGTACTCTCCCTATTACAAATACTCTTGAGACCGAATTCTAATATATTTTATTGTTACACTAATTTTTGAATGATAGTGCTCTAATCACAAAAGTTAATGAAATTAATCTTTGCAGAAGTATTTTTAAATTCCTGTGTCCCTTGTCTAATGAATTTTAAAGTGCTGAAGCAGTTGCTTAGACTTACTATAATGAGCCTTGAGTCTGATAGGCCTACCAGAAGCATGGCATCTATTTTTTTTTCTTTTGAAAATTAGTACATGTTTGCAGTACATAGTTTTTCATGCTGTTATTTTTGGTTTTTTGTTTTGTTTGTTTGGCTTCTAATAGGAAAGACACAGATTTTTAGGGCACTAACCTTGAGCCATGTTATCACGTGCAAGTGAAGGAATTAAAGAAGTAGACATGTGAGACAGTAAGAAACTATGAAGGAAAAAAACAAGAAAGAAAATATGGTTCATTAATTTTGCACTAAGAAGAAAATGCTCTAATAGAGTGGTTACTTGAAACAGTGATAAATATTAAGTGTTCATAATGTGGTGGAAATTAAAACACAATCTCAGCTTTAACTTTTAAATAATAGTGATAGCTGTCATTTAGTGATAGCATCTAGGTACTGCATGTTTAATATCTTACTCTCACAGCAACTCTGTGAGTAGGTATTATTATCCCGGTTTAACCAGTAAGAAACTGCAGATCAGAGAAATTAAGAAGCTTGTCAAACATCACATAGTAAATAACAGAGCTAGGATTGGAATTCAAGTGTGATTTAAATCTACATGTACCTGATCCCAAATACCATCTTTTTACTATCTGCACTTAATTTTCAGTTATTTAAAACTCTAGAAAGGTGAAAAAAAGACAAATTCAAGCTTACCTACACAGGTAAGAATCAAATAAAACAGTTATGCTATTCTAGTTAAAAGACAAATTTCATGTCACAAAAAAGAAGACCAATCACTGTCAGATTTTAAACTATCGTAAGCCAATTCAAAAATATTATTAAATAGAGAAGACTAATTGGCCTCCATATGAGGTATACCAGTTTTCCAGCTTTGACACACAGGAGACACCGAGGGGTTTGTCCTCCCCTGACCTCAGGCAGCACAGGGAAGGCAGGCAGGCCACAGGCACACTCCAGTCCTGCTCCTGATGTGGCCGGCCAGTGTGCCACACTACCAGCACCTGTAACAGTGTGTGTCATGCCTTGAAAAGAAGTTAGGATACACTGGCCTCAAGAATGCTAATCCAAGAAGTAAGACAAGTAATTTTAAGTAAGTATAAGAATTTATTTCTGCTTCTGAGATCACTGTTTCAATAGAGCTCTGAAGCCAGTTGACTTTAAACATATTTTGAATTACTCAATTTGAAAGGAACTCTAGAATCTAACACAGACACGGGATCAAGGACAGGGACCCCAAAATAGAGTACTATAAAATAGGCAGGACATATCATAGGCCCCACCTGCCCTAGAGTATAACCATGTTCTGTCATGGTCACTTTGAACTGTGTAAGAAAATCAGTACGAAAAAAAAAATTGTATTCAATATAGCTATGGTTCTTTCTGACAGAAAAACCAAATATCTTAGAGAATGTCAAGTCAATAGATTGTACTAAAATAAGAAATGATTTATTATCTAACACTGAGTTCAGTTTTTAAATGAAATAAGAATGAGATTCACGACCTTTGAGTGTTATTAATTGAAGTGATAGTTGAACCTATTTGAATACATTCAGTATCACTGAGTATCTCAAACCTACACAATCATTGGAATTTTTGCTTATCAGCTCAATGTAGTTTTAAATTTTACATTCATTGCTCGTCTGCTCTAGATTTGTTTGGAAAGCTTTTTTTACTAAAACCACAGAACACTATTACAAAGTATTATTTATTGAATAATTCATAAACTAATGTATTTTTACTGCTGCTTAAGAAGTGCTTGTGTTTTTGATACATCTCCATTAAGTGCTTTTGACATGAGAAGATGTTTTTATAGAACTGACTGTTAATGGCATAGCATTTTGGGATACCTTGTAAGTGGCCCATGTAATGTAGACCTAGGAAATTTAGTGGGAAACAGAACAAGAACAAACCACCCCATTTTAACTGCGACCTATCTTCATTCACAGTAAAGTTTCAGCTACCCAAACTCACCACCAGATGGTATTTTTCTGTAAGCAGAAAAATTTGCCTCCTGCTGTGTGCTCACTCCTCTGCACTGAGCTGCAGCCTGGGGGAGGCAGCTGCCAAGACAGGACCTGGGCGGGTGCAGACTCTTTCCTGCTTCCTTAAATGACAGTAACTTTGCAGAGGTGTACTGCATTGATAAGAGGGACAAAAGAAAGAAATGCAACATTTTTTAGACTGTCTAATGGACTGAAGGGAAAAATGCAAGAACACACAAACAAGGATTCCCTGTAAATAGTCTGCAGTATTTTTAAATATATGTATTTGTATTTTTGCACTATGAAAAAAACAATAAATTTTGTGAGTTTTGATGATGAAAGACAGAAGTTCTAGTTTTGAATGAGTGTTTTTAAGGGGGTGAGAATGTTAATGGTGCTACTTGATAGAAGAGACCATTGAAAAGCTGATAGTCAGTGTCCTTTTTTGTTGAGTAGGAAAAAGATTAAAAATTGTGCCATATAAAAATCAACCTACCAAGTTGTTTCACATTGCTAGCCTGAGTTTCAGTTCAGTTTGTAATAATTATTAATGACCTCTGTTTACAATAAAAAGTCTGTAAACTGTTTGTTCTTAGTTTTTTAATAGTTATATATTGAGTTTCTGCTTGGTTATAAAAATATAATTTAAACACGGCTTGAGAGCTGTATTTGTGTAATCTTTGTAGTCAGAGTTGAAAAGTAGGGCATTCCCAGTTCGGGTATTCCCCGCCTCCTGTGTGTTCCAGGAGGCCTGACCCCAGTGTGGCCGGGGAGAGCACGCACTGGCCACAGCCAGAGCCTGGAGAGGAAACGGTGGAGGCTTGCCACGCAGCAGGTGTCCTGCAGGACGGGCGGAGCCTCTCGGCTCCACCTAAACCCCCAGCTGCCTGGATCCAGCTGTGGGCCACTGGAAAACTACCTAAGGGTCTTAAGGTGTTGGCATTGTGTTCTTCCCACATCATATTACCACCGAAGGTAATCCCACTTGCTTTTTTCCACTTTCTCCTTATGTAAGAACAAGTTCCTTTCTACTTTTTTTTTTAATTACCTTTTCCTTCTTTCTTGCTCTGTGATAGGTGCACATACCCAGTGTTTTTAAACTGCTTTCTCGGAGACTTTCAATGCCAAATCGTGTAGAACTGTTGTGTAGAAGTTCGCGGCAGGATAATGCTGACTCGGTGGCCCTGGGGCCGGACTCTGCGCCTGTGACCCAAGGAGTTGGCTGCGTGTCCCGGAGGCGAGGGAGGGCTGGAAAGGGACCATTCTCTTTCTTTCTTTTTTTTTTCTTTGGCTTTGCCATCCGGAACCCGGCAGTAATGTTGAGCACCCTGACTCACTGCTCTTGGGCATTCTCTGTAGTTTTCTCCCAAGGACATCTCTTTGTCACCAAATAATTGGTTCCCTCAACCTAACTCGAAAACTTGTAGCTTCTCACTTCAAGTTCCAGCGCAGTCGGAGCTCCCTGTTCCCTGAGACTTCGTTTTGTGTCACGGTTGTACCATTATGTATTTCTTGGCCCTCAGGACACTTTCTTGAATGAATAAATGAAGCAATAGCAAGGAGCTGCAGGAAGAAACTAGGGTGACATTTTTTTTCCTAAATAAACTTTTAACAAATTTGGAGTAATTTTAGGTTTGCACAAAATCCACCAAGATAGTTCAGAGTTCCCATGAAGTTCGCCTTTAATAGTTACATCTACACTGGGTACTTAAAAATGGGTTCTTTTGTACCACTAGATTCTATTTTAAACTTTTGCTTCATGGACAGTATAGGAAAACAGCTTTGTTAGTAATACACTTCTGTTACAGTAGGGTATTGATCCCATTGCAAAAACAAATTATTTTAAAAGTTCTTAAACAATAGACTGCGCTAATGTTGAAATTCAATAAGTTTATAATATCAAAAAAAATAAACTGCTTTCTTATAACTGCAGCTTGAATATGTCTGCCTAAAGACTTGTATTTTACCTAGTTGTTTCCAATTTCTTCAGAAACTTTCTGGAGGTCTCAGTGGTTTCTTTATTGATACATATAAATTTGTACTAGTATAAATTTTTCATGCATTAATGTCTTTCACTTTAAGATATAAGATTACCCTTCATATTTTGAGCTCAAACCTATTAATGTATCAGTCTCTTCAACTTAAAAATAAGCAGCGCAATACAAATGCTTAATTTGTACCTCCTTAAGAAAAATTATCTTTCAACCACATCTTTTCAGTTTTGCAAAATGATGTGCCTATCCATGATGACAATATTTTGTAGTCGTTGCTCATGTTACTACATTTGGTATACAATTGCACATATATACATAATAATTGCAGCTTTGAATGTAGAAAAAATTTCTTTCTGACTGGGGGCAGAGTAATTCAATTTCTGGCATTGCATAAGGATCACACTGTAAATCACTTCTCCTTGCTGGAGGACACCTTTACAGTGTGTACTTGAATTTAGATGCCCATCAGAATTGATCTTGTGTAAAACAATACTGTATAAGTTTCATTCACTTCATGCATTCATTAATTCACGTGAAAGAGAGCATAGCCCAGTGACAGATTACAGATTATTAAAAATATTAAACATGGGAAATATGTGTGGGTGTTCAAAACAGAGTAAGCACAAACAGTACAGAATAGTCTTGACATTTTTCCAAACTGAATGTTACAAACATGCATTTATTTGTTCAATAAATATTTACTGAAAGATTTCCGAAAATACAAAGACAAAGAGGCTAAAGCAGGAAAAAGTCTCAGACTATAGAATTTGAGGTAAGTCTGGAAAGAAAGGTAGGATTTAGACTAGGAAAGGAAGACAATGAACTTGGGATTGGGATGAATGAAAAGCTAATTTTAGCATGAGATATATGCATATACACAGCTTTTGCCCAAGCCACATTTGCAATTAATCTACATGTACTTACCAGCTTATTTCATAAGGTCAGCTAGGTAATACGGAGCTCTCAGTGCCAACCTGAGGATCTGGACTATAGGCAATAAGGAGTCCTTTGAAGATTCTGTATGAGGGAATTATCTGGTAAAAGGGAGTATGGAGAAATAATCCTTTGGAATTACCTAGCATGAGTCAAGAAATAGGAGGCTGAGGCACAGTCGGTGAAGCCATTTGAACATTTCAGACTGTGCTGATAGAAACTAGAATGAGTGCCATGGGCCCAAGAGAAAGAATTTATTGTAACTTCTGTACTGAGTAATATGATTATCCGTACACATATTGGTTTTTGATTTTGTATTGTACTGGGGATTGAATCCAGGGCCCTCAGACAGAGCTACATCTCCGCCATTCATTCATTCTGTCGTTTGTTCATTTGTTTAGAAAAGGTCTCGCTAAAATCTCTGAGTTGCTCAGACTGTGTCTAACATTTGATCAAGCTCCAACAAGTCCTGGGATTATGGGCATACTCCATGCCTGGCTACATGCTTGTTTTTAAATGGAATTTAGTTAAAAAATGTATTCCAAAAATCTATTTACATTTCTTTTTTATTAAAAAATAAAAAAATTTAAAAAGGAGATTAAGATAAAAGAGGACATAACATAACACAGGTCAGAACAGAACAATTTAAGCAACATAGTGTTTCACCAAAAGATAACCCGACATAACAGTAGTTATCATAGTGTCTCTTTCCTTGAAATATTTGAGTGTAACTTCGTATACTATAGCATCAAACTTATCAAGACAGTGTGAAACCATTCAAGAGAATGAAAGTATCGCAGGGTATTTAGAACCAGCTAACAGAGACCGAACATTGGTTTCTATATTGTCTCCTTGCCTATAAAAAATTTTGTTTGTACTATCACATATAATAAAATCCAATAAGATACAACATGATAAAACCAATGGAGACAGAAGAACAAAAACTTGATGGGACTTCAAAACAAGATGATATTAAATCAGCACTAGCTATTATGATGTCTTGTTTTCTTCAAAATAGCTGTTCATACCATCACAGACAATAAAATCAAACAACCCAGAATAAAACCATTCCAATTAATGAATGAAAACATTATAAGGCTTCAAAGCAATATAATGGAGAATCATGATTACCACATACTTGTATGTATTCATATCATTTCTTATACTAGGGAAACTATTTGGTATTTGTACCTGTGAGTTTGCTTTATTTTGCTTATGAGTATGGTCTCAAGCTGTATCCATTAATTTATAAATATCTCAATGTGATCATTCTTTATAGCTGAGTAGTACTCCATTGTATGAAAATACCATAACTTTTTTATCCATTCCTCAGCTGATGAACACTTAGGTTGTTTCCAAGATCTGGCTATTACAAATTGTGCTGCTTTAAACATGGGTGCACATATATCACTGTGGTATGATGTTTTCAGTTCTTCTGGGAATATGCCCAGAAGTGGAATAGCTGGAACAAATGGGACTTCCAATCCCAGCTTTTTGAGAAATCTCCAGACTGACCTCCACAATGGTTACACCAGTCAACACTCCCACCAACAGTGCAGGAGAGTTCCTTTCTCCCCACAGCCTCTCCAGCATTTGGTGTTAGTGGTTTTCTTGATCCTGGCCATTCTTTCAGGAGTGAGATGGAATCTCAGTGTGGTTTTAATTTGCATTTCTCTAATGAGTAATGATAATTAACATTTTCTCATGTATTTATTTGCCATTTGTATTTCTTCATCTGAGAATTGTGTATTCATCTCAGATACCCATTTTTGGATTGGGTCTTTGAGTTTTGGGGGTCTGATTTTTTTTTTAATTCTTTATATGTTTTAGACAGAAGTCCTTTGTCTGAGGGACAGTTCACTAAGATTTTTTTCCCAGTTTGTAGGTTTTCTTTTCACTATGCTGGAGATTTCTTTTGACATGCAGAAACTTTTTAATAAGAGGTGATCCCAGTTACTGATTCAGGGAAGTATTTCCCAAGCAGTTTGATTATTGTTCATGAATTCTCTACCTACCCCTATGTCTTCAAGATTTCTACCCAATTTGTCTTCCAATAGATTTAGTGTTTCTGTTTTAATCTTCAGATCTTTGATTCATTTGGATTTTAATTTAGTACATGGTAAGAGGCATGGGTCTTAAGTTTTAAGTTTTTAGTTTTAAGTTTTCGGCATATGGAGAGCCAGTTTTTCCAACACCATTTATTAAAGAGGCTGTCGTTCCAGTGAACATGTTTGGCTCCTTTATCAAAGATAAAGTGGTTGAGTGTGTTTGTAGTTGTGGTTGTATCTTCTAATCTATTCCACTGATCTTCAGCCATGTTGATTTTAGTACAGTTGCTTTGTAGTATAACTTCAATTCAGGGATTGTGATGCCTCCTGCCTTACTTTTGCTGCTTAGAATTGTCTTTGCTATTCTAGGGCTCTTCTAGTTCCAGGTGAATTTTAGGAGTGATTTCTGTAGATCTATGAGGTATGTTGATGGTATTTTTGTTGCAATTGAATGGAATCTGTATAACAGTTTTGGAAGGACGGCCTTTTTCACAATATTTATTCTTCCTATCCATGAGCAAAGGATGTCTTTTCATTTTCTGAGATCCTCTTCAATTTCTTTTTTCAATGTATTATAATTTTCCCTACATAGATCTTTCACTTCTTTCATGAGGATAATTCCTAAGTATTTCATTTTTTGGTTGCTAGTGTGAAGGCGTGTAGCTACTCTTATTTCTCTGTCAGTGATTTTGTGTTAGTGTACAGATATGTTATTGATTTTTGAATATTGATTTTGTATCCAGCTACATTGCTAAATTTATTATATCTAGGAATCTTTCAATGGAGTTTTGGGGGTCTTTTATGTAGAGTATCATGTCATTCTCAAATAATGATAATTTAACTACTTCTTTTCCTATCTTTACCCCTTTTATTTCTCTCTCTTGTCTAGTTGCTCTGGCTAGTATTTCTAGTACTATATTAAATAGGAGCAGTGATAAGGGACATCCTTGCATTGTGCCTGATTTCAAGGTAAAGGCCTTTAGTTTTGGCCATTTAGTATAATACTGGCTGTTGGTTTGTCATAGATAGCCTTTATCATATTGAGGTAAAGACCATCTATTCCAATTTTTTGCAAGGTTCTTATCATGAATGAATGTTGGACCTTATCAAAAGCTTTTTCTACATCTATAGAGATGATCATGTGAATCTTACTTTTGGCTTTATTGGTATGGTGGGTTACATTTATTGACTTACATATGTTGAAACATCCCTGCATGCCTGGGATGAATTACACTTGGTCTACCAATATTTTATTGAGGATTTTTTGCATCTGTGTTCATTAGGGAGATTGCCCTATAGTTTTCTTTTTTAGTTAGGTCTTTCTCAGGTTTTGGTACTACAGTAATATTTGCTTCCAGGAATGACTTAGGAAGGATTGCTTCCTTTTCAGTTTCATTGAAGAGTTTGAGGAGTGTCAGCATTAAGTCTTCTTTGTATTTCTTGTAGAATTCTGCAGTGAAACGGTCTGGGCCTGGGCTCTTTTTTGTAGGTAAGGACTTAATTATGTTTTCAATTTCATTAATAGAAATTGGGTTATTCAGCAGTTTTACACCTTCTTGATCTGGCTTTGGTACTTCATATGCTTCTAGGAATCTATTTCTTCTGTGTTATCAAACCTTTGAGAATAGAGGTTTTCGAAATAGGTGTTGATGATCTTCTGTATTTCTACAAAGTCTGTAGTGATTTTGCCTTTTTCATTCCTTATTGCAAGAATTTGAGCTTCTTCCCTTTTTTAAATAAGGTTGGCTAGGGGCTTATCAATCTTTTTTATTCTTTCAAAGAACCAACTCTTTGATTCATTGGGTTGTTTCGTTAGTCTCTATTGCATTAATTTCTGCTCTGATTTTTATAATTTCCTCCTTTTTGGCTCTTCTTTTTCTAGATGTTTGAGGTGTAGCAACAGGTTGTTTATTTGTGTTCATTCTGTTTTCCTGATGTGGGAACTCAGTGCAATAAATTTTCCTCCGAGGACAGCTTTCACTGCACCCCACAGATTCTGGTAAGTTGTATTTGTATTTTTGTTTGCTTTTAGGAATTGTTTAATTTCTTCTTTAATTTCCCCTGTGACCCACTAATTATTCAAGAATGTGTTATTCAGTTTCCATGTGTTTGTAGGAATTTTGCAGTATCTTTTATCATTAATTTCTAGTTTCATGGCGCTATGATCTAATAACATGCATGGGATAATTTCATTTATTTTGCATTTATTTAAATATGTTCTTTGGGCTAGTATATGGTCTATTTTAGATAGACCCCTTCTGGTCCCATGTACTGCTGAGAAGAATGTGTATTCTGATGTTGTTGGATGGAACACTCTGTATATGTCTACCAAGTCCATTTGTTCACAGGTGTGATTGAGTTCTGTTATTTCTTTGATGATTTTCTGTCTGGTTGATCTGTCCCTTGGTGTCAATGGTGTGTTAAAGTCTCCTGTTATAATTGTGTTTTGCTAATTTGGTTTTTCATTTCTATTAATACTTGCTTTATATAACTGGGTGCTCTGGAATTTGGTGCATATGTATTTAAGATTGTTATTTTTCCCTTTTGAAGTTTTCCCCTAACCAGTATGTAATGACCTTCTTTATCTCTTCTGATGATTATTGGTTTGAAGTTCACATTGTCTGCAAACATAATAACTACCTCTGCTTTTTTTGGGGGGGGGGTTCCTGTTGTATGAAGTATTGTTTTCCATCCTTTGACCTTCAGTCTGTGAGTATCCTTTTGAGTTAGATGGGTTTCTTATAAACAGCATATGGTTGGATGTTGTTTCTTGATCCATTCTGCCAGTCTGTTTCTTTTAATTGGTGCCTTGAGACCATTTGCATTAAGGTTATAACTGTTATATAGTGGTTTATTGTTGACATGTTATCTTTTTGCTGTTACATCTTTATCTTTACGTTCTGTTTAATTGTTTGCTTTGCTTAGTGTATTTTCCTCAGTGTATCTAAACTGGCTTTTTTCAGTATTCTTTGCAGGGCTGGCATGGTGATCATGAAGTTCTTCAGCTGTTCTTTGTCATGGAAGTATCTTATTTCTCCATTAATTTTGAAGGACAGTTTTTCAGGGTACATCAGTCTAGGTTGGAAATCATTTTCCTTTAGGATCTGAAATACTTCACTCCATGCTCTTCTTGACTTTATCATTTGTGCTGAGAAGTCTGCTGTGATTCTGATAGATTTTCCTTTATAGGTGATCTGTCTTTTCTCTCTGACAGCTTTTAATATTCTATTCTTATGTTGGATTTCTGGGATGGTGATTATTATATGCCTGGGTGTAGTTTTATTTTGGTTATGCCTATTTGGAGTTCTATATGCTTCACTGATCCTGATGTCAGTTTCCAATCTCATGTTTGGGAAATTTTCAGCTATTACTTCTCTAAATATCCTTTTAATGTCCTTTATATTGTCCCCTTCTTTTTCATTTATCCCTATCAATCTTGTGTTGTTTTTCTTTGCATCATCTTGTAGCTGTTGAATTGTTACTTCCTGATTCCTTGTTATATTTAAAAGATCTTTCCTTCCCTGTTCACTAGCTGCAATCTTGTCTTCAAGGTCTGAAATTCTGTCTTCACTTTCATTGAGGCAGTTTTTATAACTTTCAATGGAATTTTTGATTTCCTGTATATCTCTTTGCATCTGTTTTATGTATTCTGTTTGTTTCTTATATTGTTCATCCAGGGAGTCTATCTTTTTGTTTAGTTCCTCCAATTTTTTAACTGTCTCTTCTTTAGATATGTTCAGCATCTCTTTCATTTCTTTTATCATTTCTTCTTTTACTTAGGAGATTATTTCTAGTTTGAATTCCTTTAAAGCTTCCCTTAGTTGCTTCTTTATTTCAGGTTGCTGTTATTTCAGGTATTTCAGGTGTATGGCATATGTTTTCTTTTATGTACATAGCTCCTAAGGTTTCTTGGGATGGGCTGGAGGCTTGAGATTGTATTTTGGTCTTTCGTTTTGTCATTTCCTATATTTCCGTGTTTCAAGTGTTATTCCAAGGCTTCCCCTGGGCCTGTTGGAAATCCTCTTCTGTGCTCTCAGCTTCTGGGACGCTGGCCACCCAGTTCCCCGGATTGAGAAAGGGTCACTGGGGGTGGGGCAGGCAGGGCTAAGTCCTGCTGTGCAGGTCCTGTGAGGCAGGAAGCAGCAAAGTTCCCTGGCCCAAGGGAGCACTGATCTTAGATTCCCTCCCAAGGGATCGGGATGGTGTGGGGACACTCACCCCAGACCGCCCAGTGCAGAGTTCAGGGTGCAGGCAGGCAGGCCCAATTCCCCGGAGCTGGCCTAGCACGGCAGGAAACCAGAAAGTTCTGGGTCTGTATTTTTGATTACTGTCTGAAGAGGTGTTTTCAGAAGCAGATTCTCGGGGTTCCGTCGCAGCAGCGGCTCCGTAGGGCTCTGGCTACCAGGGCCTGACGGCGACCCTATTTACATTTTTTATAAAATTATTTTCATGTGTACAGTCAGCCTTTATTAGATGTACTTGTTTTACAACTTTCAATTGCTTCTCAGTAATTTTTAATAAAAAAGATACCTGATGTTTCTCTTGCATCGTGACTCCAAGCACAGATTCCTTTCCCTAACTCATATGTGTTGTATTTAATGTATTTAAGTGATTTTAAAATTATTTGAAAAGTCACAAAAGCAGCAGAGATAAAACTTGTCCTTCTAGTCATAAAATCAAACATCTCTTGTGAGTTGACCTTTCTATTCATGCAGTGGTGGGAGGTTCACAGCTTAGTGTAACTGGATGTCACCTGAGTCATAAACCACATAGTTGATTACAGTGTTCTAAAAAAGCCTAACGGACTTTGCTCCCTACTAATGACTAGCAAAGGCACAGAAGTCGTTAAGCTTCGAAAGTTTCTCTTACTCCAAAACAGACTACAGAGTGAATGAGACTGCAAAAGCAGATACAGAGGTAAGACCTTAGTGATAACATATTTTCTGAAAATGCAGGGGGTGCTTTAGCATGTCACATAAATGCAACTTTGTGCTATATGTACCATTTTGGTAGCTACATTTCGATGTCTTTATTTCTAAGAAATCAAATATTCACTTAAATCAGTAAATATGATAATTCTCCTGAATCTGAACTCTTCTACTTATTTGCCCTCAGTTTTGCTTTCTCTAGGCATTATGAAAAGCATTTATTCAGAGTAATTACCGAAGTTAGAGGTCTTTACTGGATCAATGACAAACTGATCAGGAAAAAGCAGTATTTTCTTCCTTTCTGAGTGCCAGTGGAATGACTTATCTTCTGACAAACAGTTCTACTGGGAAGTGTGAGATTCCCACAGGCAGATCACAGACAGCAGCCTCAGTGGAAGTAAATGTCAGTGTTTTTAGAGCTCACTTAGAGCCCTACACAAAAAAAGAACGGAAGATAAACACCCAACTTCTGTAACAATCTCATATCAAAAATGACCTTTAGTCCTCTCTCATATTTACACACTTTGGAAATAAACTAACCCTTAGCAGTGTTACCATTCACTCCATCTCATTGGATCTCCCTAGTGCTAACTCCTTGGATGGGACGCCACAGGAGCAGCTTCCAAAGTGACTTCCGCTTCTAAAGGTGCTGTTCTGTGAAGAAATAAACTCAGTGACACTCCTGAGGGTGAGTACAATTTTTAAAAATGGACTACTCAGAGATACAAGAAGTATGTGGAACATTCATGTTTTATGTGAATAAGAATTCTGTATTGTCAGTTTCAAAGGCACAGCTGAAAGGCAATTTTATCAGAGCAAATACTGTGCAATAAAAGGAGTTTTTTGGTTTCGTTTTGTGTTTGTCTGAAATGAGGAGCACTCTACCACTGAGATACGTCCTCAGCCTTTTTTATTTTTATTTTGCACAGGGTTCCCTATGCCCAGGCCACATTCAGACTTGTGATCCTCACACCTTAGTCTCCTTGAGTAGCTAGGATTATGGGCCAGTGCCACCATGCCTGGCCAAAAGGCGTTTCCTTAGTGGCTTTGGAAGTTATCATGTATGGAGTTTATAGTAAATTCAGTTTAATCTATTGATTGTGCTACTTGTACTAATGTTATATGGATTTGCAAAGAAACACTAGGAAGTATTTAAGTAGTGCTAAATAGATTTTAAGCTGTTTGTTTATTATGTAGTTAATGTAGAAAAGCACTGAGAAATAACTAGTTCAAATACTGTAATATGTAACAATTCAAGTTAAATGTTTCCATGTTTATATTTTGTCTTCTTAGAATACATTTTGCCTCTTATCTATTCCTCCAATGTAAACCAAATACATGCCAATATGTATTAGTGTATAGTCTTTCCTATTATCAAACAAAATCAGAATTTGTTATTCTAGTTTCTAACAAGATACTCTACATAATTTTTATTTTATTCTTATTGCAAAAGAAGTACTTCTTATTATAAAATGTTTAGAAATTGAAGAAAAATTAAAAGGAAAAAAACTAAAATCACTCAGATAATATTTATTCTTCAAGTTTACTCTTTGTACCTATAATACATGTTTTCTTCCAAAACTGGATAAAACTGTATGTCTCATAATCTGCATTTTCATATCTCAGAATATTTTGAACATGTTTGTACAGTTAAAGAGTCTCGTGACATTTTAAATAGTTAAGTAGTTTTCATATACATATATATCATTGGCTTATGTATAACTTACAAAGAAAAAAAACTGAAATGATCAAATCTTGTATCTGAAATTGTAATAGAATTCTAGCAAATGAAACTAGAGAAAAATAGAGAAAAGATATTAAAAAGCCAATGTAAGCCGTGAATCTGACGGGATACAATTCAGTCCTTTTATCCATGATATTTAATGATTGCAATTATTTTCTTTTTTAAAATTTTTAAAGAGAATAAAACCAAGCAAAATAAAACAGAATAAAGCGAATCAAAACAAACCAGTGTAAATGACACAAGATCTCAAAACAATACGAAATCAACAATGTTTACCGTAATGCCTCCTGCCGACTTCAAAACAGCTGCCCCTATCTTCAGACACAGTAAAAATCAAACAAAACAGAATGGAACATAACCAATAAAACAAAACAATGAAGCCAGTAGAGGACTTCAAAATAAGATAATAGTAAATTCAAAATGGCTACCATAATATATTTTATTATCTTTGAAATACCTGCCCATGGCATCGGATATAAAAAAAATCAAAACAAAACAGAATAAAACCCAACCCAACAAAGCAATGAAAATGATACAGGACTTCAAAACAAGGTAATAGGGAATCAACAATGGCCACCACCCTCAGGAGATCCCCCATAGATGCTACGTTGTGTATTGTTAACCTCTGAATAGATGATCCTATTAATAGCTTTAGACCTGCAGAGTCAGTGAAATGCAAGCATTAAATTGTATTTTATCTCAATAGCTATCATCGCAGCCTGTGTTTCTCTGACTGAGTCTGTTGTATACGGGGGTGGGAAAGGTTGGCTCTTCTTGTTTCCCGGCCCTGCAGACTGGCATCTTGCTCTCCCCACAGCAGCCCGCAAATGGTGCTGATTCACAGGGAGGGCTTGCTTCTTGGGGACTTCTTGTTCTCTTCCCCTGCAGTCTGCAAATGGCACTGACTCACAGGAAAAGGCTGGCGTCTGGCTGTCCCCCAGCGGTCCACACGTGGTGCTGACTTGGAGAGAGGGTTTGCTTCTTGTTAACTTCTCCTGGTCTGGAATTATTTTCTATAATCATACTTTCAGTTTTTCTTACATAGAGTCCTCTCACACATCCCTTTGCATTGTATGGTTCTGTGATTGTGGTTGGGTAACTGACTTTGAAATCCTGCTGGTTAAGAGAGAGATGCTGCCTGGGACACTGCCCAGTTTCTGGCCTTTCCTTTGTACTTTTTTGATTTCTTTAAGTCTACTTAAGATTAACATCTAGGTAATACAGATTTCCTTGATTTGCAGTAAGGTTTCATCTCCATAAATTCATCATAAGTTGAAAATATCCTAGGTTGAAAATGCATTCAGTACACCTAATCTCCAAACATTCCTTAATATGCTCAGAATACTTATAGTAGCCTACAGTTGGGAAAATGATGTTATACATAGCCAGTTTTATAATACAATGTTGAATATCTCATGTAATTTATTGTATACTGTATTGGAAGTGAGAAACAGTGGTTGCATGGCCATGCTTTTTATACCACTTTAAAGTTGAAAAATCTTAAGTTGACCAATCATAAGTTAGGGGCCATTTGTATAAGATTTATTCATAGAATTGTGAGAATTAAATAAAAAATGTATCTCATGAACCTAACTTCACAGCGCTTGGCATAATAAATGGTAGCAATTAAAATATGTAAAAAGTACTTTGCAAATGTCAGTTTTTATTACTCTCTTGGCACAAATTGAGAATAACAGTATGCTTAGAAATAAATAATTTGTTTTCCTCTAAATCTCATTATCTTTTAAAATGTTAAATAACTATTGCTATGAATGGGATTAATAGCCAACTATAATTCATGAGTCGAGAATCATTTGTGTCTGACTTGCTTCATCTAAAATAATAATAAACTAGAAGATTCCAGAAAACAGCAAAAAAGCAGCTAGCCTTGTAGCATGTATGTGCTCTTATCATTCATTTCCTCTGTGTTTTAAGTGGTATTTATGGAACATTGAGAAAAGTCCATTTTTTTCCTAAGGGTGAACCATCACAGTGAGTAACCCATAGTCAGATAAACTGTGTTCAGAGTCAGTTGTGATGGCATCAATAAGTTTTGCATTGAGAAAACACTTAGGGGAGCACGGATCAATGCAACTTACAGAACAGAAGCCAGCCATGAATTTAACTTTAAAAATAGTTCCACCTTTCACTCAACTCATAATTTTGAGGTATAGCATTAAGAACTGAAGATTTAGTGTGTTGGTTTTTTGTTACTATAACAAAATACCTGAGATAATCAACTTAAAAGAGGCAAGGTTTATTTTGATGCACAGTTTTGGAGACTTCAGTCCATGCCAGTTGGCCTGCCGCTTTTGGCCTGTGTCTACACAATATAATATGATGCGACGACGTAGTGGAGGAAGCTGCTTACTTCATGGAAGCTGGAAAATGAGTGGGGGGAAAAGCAGAAGAGGCTTGCATCCTGCAATTCCCTTTGAGAACACCTCCCCCTCCCCCACAGTGGCCTAGAACCTCCTACTGGTCACCACCTCTTTAAGTTTCTGCCACCTCTTAGTAGTGTCAAGGTAAGAACCTGTTTAACACACAGGTCTTGGAAGGTACTTACCCAAACTATGGCAGTCAGGGTTTTTTTTTTTAAATTAAAATAATGATATTGGTCTTAATTGAACTGTCCCATCTTCATTAATCATGTTTTTAGAGTATCTACAGAGTATCAGGAAATGTATTGGGACCAACATCTTATTGAGAGTCCAGTTAGGTTGGCAGACTAGGTGTGGCATCCTCATGTTAACCCACTAAGTGCCAGATCTCAAGAAACAAATGCTTTAAAATGCTATCATACAAGCTAAAGCTTGTATTATACAAACTAAAGCTTGTATTATTTTATTCACAGGGAATTAAAATTTTTTCACTCATTACTATTGGATTGTAGAAATGTTCTCGGAAATAATTCATATTTTAAAGAAACAAAATGTAAGGCATGCAAGTGACAAGACTTTGACTTACCCATATAATTTGATCGCAATCAGGTATGAGTTTATGACAAAAATATCTTGACTAATACCATTTAAGGCTCTGTTCCAATTCTCAATACCCTTTGAACCCTGTAATCTCAGAATATCATTATCATCAGGTTATCATTCAGGAGTGCATGTAAGAAAGTCATAGTCCAAAGGCAGTGTTTACTAAAGTGGTGCACTGTCTGGATATCCTCTTTTTACATTAACTGACCCTTCTTAGAAATAATAAGTGTCTCTTATTAAAATAATAGTATAAGTCTACTATAGTTTGGATAAGTACCTTCAAAGACCTGTGTGTTAAATGCTTAAATACAAAAGCCAATCAAATTCCTGCCACCCATATTTTCCTTCCAACATTCAACTCCCCACTCTTGAAATATGGAACCCACGTGCTGGTGTCCACGTCCCTGCCATGAATTCATCTAACAACCTCTTTCACTCACTTAAATATGTATCATCTCTGACTCACCCAGTGAAACTTTTTTAAAGCACATTTTTCCCTATCAAGAAATGTGTGCAGGGGCCAGGGATATAGCCCAGTGGCACAGTACCTGCCTGGAAAGTGCAAGGTCCTGAATTCAATTCCTCCAAAAAATAAAGTGAATGTGTATAAGAATCGTTGAAGAGTTTACTTAAATGCCCCAACTCTAATGGAGGCATTGTAAGGACACCAATTCTCTTAACAAAATAAAACTTTAATTTTCTAAAATTGGAAGAAGAGAAACTTGTGTGAAAGTGGTAGCTGAAATTCATGCCCTTACTCAGATCTCCAGAGAAAGTTTACATTCTTTGTAGGGCATCTCAGCTTGATATTGTGAGGGGGCTCAAATCAAGTAATTTCCTTAAAATGTTCTGTGTTCAAAACCGCCCCCTCAGCCAGGTGTGGTGGTACATGCTTATAATCGTAGCACTCTGGGAGGCTGAGCCCCGCCTAGGTGATTTGACAGGACCCTGTCTCACAAT